AGTAACCCATGACTCTAACTCCTTGTGCATTTGCAGTCCAAAGCAAATTTTAAATATGCACAAATTTAGGGGGAGCTCTTACTTATCACATACTTCTCAAAGCGACGATATATTACATGCTTATTATCATTTGTCGAAGCTTTGATCTATATGTTGTCATCAATTACCAAAAAGGGGGAGATTGAAAGTGCAACTATCCCTAGGTGGTTTTGGTAATTCATAACAACATATAGCTCATTGAGCTAATGCTTTTCCAAGATGACTATTTCAGGAAAGCTCAATGATTGGCATGGCATGGATGTGAAAGTGGAACCCTCAAAATGCTAAGGACAAAGGATTGGCTCAAGCTCAAAAGCTCAAGACTCTTCATTTTATATTTTAGTGATCCAAGATCACATTGAGTCTTTAGTAAAAGCCAATACTATCAAGGAGGGATGAGGTGTTGCTTAATGAGCCTCTTGCTTCATGTGCTTAGTGATATGCTCCAAAACCCTCAACTACTTTCCCATATCCACATATGACCTAAACCCAAAGCCAAACTTGGTCCTACCGATTCTTCCTATCCGGCGCCACCGAGTTTCACTTGTCATAAGCCACTGCCAAACCCTAGCAATTCGGTTCTACCGATAGGGATCTCGGTCTCACCGAGATGGGATTGCACACTCTCTGTTTCCCTTTCGTAACTTTTCGGTCTCACCGAAAGAGCGGATCGGTCCCACCGAGATTGCAATGTAAATTCAGTGTTCCCTTTTTGTAACTTTTCGGTCTCACCGAAAGAGCAAATCGGTCCCACCGAGTTTGCCTGACCAACTCTCTGGTTAGCTAATTACCAAATTCGGTCTCACCGAGATTACGTTATGCCCAAACCCTAACCATATCGGTCCTACCAAGTTGCATGTCAGTCCCACCGAAAATCCCTAACGGTCACTAGGTTTACATTTTCGGTCCGACCGAGTTTGTTGATTCGGTCCCACCGAGATTGGAAAACTGTGTGTAACGGTTGGATTTTGTGTGGAGGCTATATATACCCCTCCACCTCCTCTTCATTCGAAGAGAGAGCCATCAGAACACATACACAATTCCAACTCATATGTTCTGAGAGAGAACCACCTACTCATGTGTTGAGACCAAGATATTCCATTCCTACCATATGAATCTTGATCTCTAGCCTTCCCAAGTTGCTTTCCACTCAAATCTTCTTTCCACCAAATCCAAATCCTATGAGAGAGAGTTGAGTGTTGGGGAGACTATCATTTGAAGCACAAGAGCAAGGAGTTCATTACCTACACACCATTTGTTACTTCTTGGAGAGTGGTGTCTCCTAGATTGGCTAGGTGTCACTTGGGAGCCTCCGACAAGATTGTGGAGTTGAACCAAGGAGTTTGTAAGGGCAAGGAGATCGCCTACTTCGTGAAGATCTACCGCTAGTGAGGCAAGTCCTATGTGGGCGATGGCGATGGTGGGATAGACAAGGTTGCTTCTTCGTGGACCCTTTGTGGGTGGTTGCTTCTTCGTGGACCCTTTGTGGGTGGAGCCCTTTGTGGACTCGCGCAACCGTTACCCTTTGTGGGTGGAGCCCTTTGTGGACTCGCGCAACCGTTACCCTTTGTGGGTTGAAGTCTCCATCAACGTGGATGTAGGATAGCACCACCTATCCGAACCACGGGAAAAACATCTGTGTCTCCAATTGCGTTTGAATTCTCCAAACCCTTCCCTTTACATTCTTGCAAGTTGCATGTTTTACTTTCCGCTGCCAATATACTCTTTGCATGCTTGCTTGAATTGTGTGATGATTGCTTGACTTGTCCTATAATAGCTAAAATCTGCCAAGAACTAAAATTGGGAAAAGGTTAAGTTTTTATTTGGTCAAGTAGTCTAATCACCCCCCCTCTAGACATACTTTCGATCCTACAGAGGTCGACAACCCAAGAAGTTCTCACACAAGGAAATGAACGCGGCAAGATAAACGATTGAGTTGGGGGTAAAATGGTGGAGTTGAGCCCCAAAGAAGTTCAGAAACCCTCGGAAGAAAGGATGAGGGGGCAAGGAAAACCCACGGTCGACGTGGGTGGCAAGAAGAACGCGCTCACCCTCCCTGGGTTGCGGCTCGGATTCCTTCCCCGGAAGCCGCGCCGAGTCGTAGGGGATCAGCCCTCCCTCGGCCAGGTCGTCGAGGTCCTCTTAGGAGATCCTCGAGTGGATCCAGTCGCCCTGGATCCAACCCCTCGGCAGGCCAGTCCGCGAAGAAGATCCGCCCCGGCTCGTCGCCTTCCCCTTCAATTTCGCCGTCGCCTTCTTCGCCCGCTCCAGAGCCGCTGTCCTCTCCTTCACCATTGTCGCCGATGAGACGCGTGTGGTGCGGTGGCGCTGGGGCGAGAGAAGGGTAACGGTTCGAGAGCCGCTGTGAAGGGTAACGGTTCAGCAGAGAGGCGTGAGGAGGAGAAGAAGTAATGGGGCGCGCTGTTCGGGGGACTCCGGTCCAATGCCTTATATGAGGCCGCTTCCGAGTGGCTGACAGGTAGGCCCAGATGGCTCCGTCAAATCTCGTAATGACCGCGCGAGAGATACGTGGCAAAAAAGGTGGCGCGGGGATCGAGGCGGCTCCGCTCTATCCCATCCGATTACTGCGGCCTCCCCCGTCCCACGCGCTTCCCGAAATTCGAATCCCACTAAATCCGCGGGCAGCAAACAAACTTGTCAGACTAAAAGATTTCCTCCGCACCGTCACTCGGAGCCTTACAGATAAAGAAACTCACTCGACGAAGAATTAAGAATGGATCAAGGCGATTGAAAAGGAAGTTGTTGTCATCACTCGGGTCCATTGATCCGGAGCAAGATATGCTCACGGCATGAAAAACGAGTTGGAGAGGTCCTCAACTCCTTCCCCACTCAAACCTCGATCCATTCGGGGGCTAATGATGAAGCTATCAAGCTAGGGTAGGGTCATGGACCTGTCCTGGCTGCCCTATCCAAGGACATCTCTAGAAGAAATCGCCTTTCAATCGACTTGAAGGTGCCCCACTCGACAGACTCGAAGACACTCGACCAAGAAGCAATCACTCGACCAAGACCCAACCACTCGACGGTCAGGAGACCTAAAGGTGCCCCGCACACTAACGGTCGGTCATTAAGTAGCTTTTATGGTCATCATAGCACTTTATTACTAGTGTTACCAGTAACGCCCTGCCTTAATGTACATTGAACCCTTCGTAACGTGGGCTGGCCGGGGTCCTGGCGCACTCTATATAAGCCACCCCCTCCTCCGAGACAAGGGTTCGGACCTCTGTAACTCATACGCACATAATCCAGTCGACCGCCTCCGGGCTCCGAGACGTAGGGCTTTTACTTCCTCCGAGAAGGGTCTGAACTCGTAAACCTTGCGTCCTTACAACCTCTCCATAGCTAAGACCTCACCTCTCCATACTTACCCCCCTACATTACTGTCAGAGTTAGAACCACGACAGCGACCGATACCGTGAGCGCGCGACGAACGCCCCAGGTGGGCGGGTAGTCTAGCGTCCTTTATATGTTCGATTGGTGAGATGATTTTGTGTATGTTTAGGTCTTGTAAAGACATTGATGATGAGGTCATCGATATACACTGAAGACATGTAAGAAAATAAAGTTTAGAATTCATTTATTAAACACATAAAAATCGTAATCCTTTTGAAAAAGGAACTCACTTAGTCGGTAGTACCATGGAATTCTCAACTATTCCAAGTCATGGAGTGACTTCTGAAATATTGCACAAAACATGTTGTGATTTATTTTTGGATTCAGAATTGGAAGCCCTTTTTTAGGGACCTCGATATAGATTTGTAAAACAAGTAACCATATGAGTATGTAGTCATTGCATCCATTATATGCATGGATAATATTATTTGTATTGTCAATGATATTTTGTATCGAAACATAATTCCACTCATACCAAGAGGGTATGTCACATCGTAATCGATGTTGGGTATCTGTGTGAAACATTTTGCTACAAGCCTCGCTTTCTCGTCATCTCATTGACTTTTTTTTATAAATGAGAAGTTTTTTATTCCATATGGAAAATACTTATAAGGAGTAGGTATTACTACGGTAAATATCACTCTACCATGGATGTTGGTTCAGGACCCAAAAGGCTTTAGAAATTTTGAGAAGAAATATATGTCGACAAATGTAGTCTTTATGTTATATAATCCTGCTGGAATCGATGCAATTTGTGAAAATGTATTTATTCCTTTTATTAATTCCTTGTGATTTCCTATAACAACGGAGTCAAGGTGTTTTGATGTCCCAACACTAAAAATATTGTGCATACTTATGTCGGGCTTTGGATGATGAGCATCCTATGAGGTTTCTTTCAACTTGATGTTGAATTACATTTACTTGTTGAGAATTTAATTTCTTCTGCTTCCGCGGAAGCATATGAGAAGTTACATCTCGTGTGGTCAGATTTCTCCCCCTCTTGTTCTCATTTGGGGAGAAGAATGGTCTATTAGGTACCTCCACTCTTTCTGGTACTTCACTGCAGATATATAGAATTTAGTGACATAGTTTTCACCAGTAAATGTATGCAGCATTTTGCAATGTGTTATATGAACTTCTAATTCAGATTCTTAAGTACGTGTCAATGACTTTTTTTTCTGCATTCTTTGTGGTACCATTCTCCATCTAACGTAAGTTCAAAAAAAAAATCTCCCTCTAACGTCAAAAAATGTCACATTGCTAATGCCATTAGTATGCGGGCTATGATGTTTTTATAATTGGCAGATAAACTTTTATTTCTCACATAGATTCCTAATTTTCTATTTCTATTTCTGAAAAGAAAAGGATTCATAATTATCTACGAGGGCTCATTGTTGTACGCTGGAGGCAAAGAAAAAAGCTATTCAGCTCTGCCAAGCAGGCCATCCATGGGCCCTTAGCCCGAGAACGGACGGGCCGCTTCCGTAACCAAAGCGCGGTCGTCGTCTTCTTCCTCGCCTCCGCCCCCCAAGCGGAACGGCGGCCCCATGCCCCTCCGTCCCCCAAGCAGCCCCCGGCTCAAGGATCTCCCGACTCCACACGGCGGTGCAGCGCGGTTGGTCCATGGAGCATCCCGTGCCCACGAGCTCCCCCGGAGCCGGAGCCGGAGACCCCGCGACCCGCCGTCCCCTCCCCCGTATGGCCCCCGTCCCCCGCTCGCTCCATCATCCCCAGTTCTTTTACACTTCAGGGCAATCTATTCGAAATCGGTCCGTCGTATTTGCCGACAGGTCGACCGGCGGGGATTGTAGCGAGGGAGTGTTCATGTAGAAATTCCTCTGCTTTTTTCTTTTTTGAGGAGGAAATTCCTCTGTATTTTAGTTGGGTTCATTCATTCATACCGCGAGTTACCGGAACCTTTTTACTTAGCCTCTTGGAACTAGTACAGGTTTAGGAAGTTCCTCTGTATGTTAGTCGGATGGATTCATTCATGTCGCGAGTTGCCGGAATATTTTTACCTAGCCTCTGGGAACTACAGGTTTGGGAGGGAGTGTTCTGCATTTTACTATCCATTCATTTGCTGAGACAAGTTGTTTTTTTGAATTCAGGCACGAGGAGGAGGAGCATCTTGCTGAACCTGGATCATCATCTGCACAAACTCTGCAAGCACCGTCCTTGAATGAGTCGCCCAGCGCTTCGTCGGTGTGGGAGGAATTGCGTGTCGCTGTCGCTTCCTCCGCCTTTTCGCAGTCGGAGGCAGTAGCTCCTGACTCGCCTATTTTTTCCCGGCTACCGCGTGACTGGGGGCTCCAATTTTACATCAGGGTGGATCTTTCAGGATCTTTCCACACATATCCTCGTTTGGGTGGGCCATTCAAGAGCTTAGAGGAAGCCGACAGTGCTATTGATCGCCATCTGCACGACCGCCGGGTCACCAAAATGTAAGTTTTTCAACTTCGTTCTAGATTTTCACTGAGTTGGGATAGGGATGCCTTTTTTTAGGCACAACTAAGTTTATTGATTCAGAGCTTATAGGCATGTAAACAATCCATTTGTGCTTTTTTGGGGGGGTACCATGAGTTATGTTAAAGGTAACATGGGAGCTGTTTGATCCCCTATTCAAGAAAGTTCCATGGAAACTAGTTTTATTGATAACATTGGCAGAGTATTTACACACATAGTAGACTTGTTTTTTTATTCAGTACTGAGAAAGTGCAACATACCAACCAATGCTCTGATCTAAACTAGGTGCCCGGAGCAAGGCAGCGTTTCTCGACTGGATAAGGTCGTACAACAATGTCTTTACTGGCCCGATGGCAGAAGGAAGAAGCGTTCAAAATCTCATGTGATTGAGCAAAGTCATAATCGAATGTGCCTATTGGCTCAAGCTCTAGTAGACAAGTATAACGAGAATCACAATCTTTTGGGGGTCTGCTCACTATCCCTCTCTACTTCCTTTTTTCTGTCCTTCTACCAGGATTGCACTATGTCTTTTTGCTCATGTGAGAATTGCTGATCTGAGATATGCTTCTTCTTTTAGGATCTTGCACATGAGTTCAAAGACGTTGTGCAATATCAATCAATTTGCGAGAACCGTGTGTGGTACTATCATCTCAATATCACTACAAGGGCTAAAGGAGCTGATGGTTTCTCCCATGGCATCGATGATCTATTCTTCACGGAAGTCAAACGTGTGCGACAGGGACAACATGAGGAATTGGTGGTCAGCTGTTTCTGCATGCTCAAACCGACTGATAACGGTATTGTATATATACTCATATCTGAAACTAAGAATTGCTTAGTGCAGTTTGTGGGTGGTTAAACTTGGATTTGCGTTTATAACATCTCAAACTGGTTCATGCGCCCTTGCTTGTACTTGTTTGTTACTTGCCAATTAACTCTCTCCTTGTGTTCATAAATAAAGGTTGCTGCTATGGCTGTACCAACAATGGATCTCCTGATATGAAGCACCCCAGCAGCACTGATAAATACATTGCTGGTCACTTGAACGGATATTTGCCATTTGGATGCCGTAGGGAGTTTAGTGACTCTGATGATGAGGTATGATATGGTTTATTTCCTGGCGAGCCTAGCATTATTTTTCTTGCTCCATTGCTAACTACATGTCCCCTTTTACAGGAGGAAGCTGAGGCTAAGCTAAGAGATATGTATGAGGTACGGCATGTCTTGTGCTGCATTCTACCATTTGTAGCATCAACTCTGGTTCTATATACTTATCACAATTTGCCTGCTCGTGTATCTTCAGGGCCTTGATGAGCCAGACTTTCTGGAGAAACTCTTCACATTTCCCACTTATGTAACTCTGAGGAAAGACACGAAGGGAACCTGAGTTCAGAAGACTGGACTCAAGGGGCGTCGGAGTGAAACAGCATTGCCTGTTTTACCTTGTGGTTCAGTTATAGTAATGTTGTAAGGGCCCCTTCAATGTTTTAGAGTTTGAGGATGACCTAATTACAGCATGCTACAGTTAAATAAGCAATTTGTACAAGTAGCTTGTGCTTGTCTTTTGTTTTACACAAATCTGTTTGCAAGGAGTTGTGAAACAGCTGTCAAATTTGAAACACTCCTCAGATTCAGATGATCAGTCCTAGCTTTTACTACACTGGTGCATGCTCAAATCGAGATAATTTCTGCCGCATTACACCTGTTTTACCCTACTGAACTAACCTAGCAACTTGTTTTAGAGATCCATCTCAAGCTTAGAGATCATTCCAAGAATATCTAATCCTCGGTGTACATCCATCTTCAAGGTGTATATAAATAGGAACTTCTAGGGATCACAAAACAACAAAATAACGTGATTTAAGCATTTAGAGATCGCAGAAAATAGGTTATGATGCCATGAATGATGAATGTATGTACTGAATGTAGAAGAACACAAGGAATATAATGTGGAGACTAAGTACATATCTTGTCTGGTTTGTCAACAGCTGTTTACATTACAGTTCAGAGAACAGAGATTATTGGCAAATACCAATGTTTTAAATAGTGGGCTATGAAAAATAGCAGCAGACCTCCAAATCAGCTATAGCGGGCTATTTGTGAAGACGACCATTTAGCAGCACCCTGCTGAAAAGGCTATAGCGGGCTATAGCCGCTATTTAAAACTATGGCAAGTACTCCCTCCACGGAGGGAGTAGAAATGACCAAAGCGGAGATGTCTGTTTCATTCCACGGAACTAACAGCTAGATACAAGTAAGCAGATAGAAATCTCAAACTATGTGCTCAGCCGGTGCCAGGATCTTGAGATGCTTCTTCTTTCTGAGCTCGTGGGGGACGGGACCAAAGACGCGGGTGCCAATCAGCTCACCCTTGTTGTTCACGATGACAATCGCATTATCGTCGAATTGGACCTCACTACCGTTGCTGCGCCCCTTCATGGCAGCACGGGCAACCACCCCGTAGACCACGTCTCCTTTCTTGACCTTGCAGCGAGGCTGCGCTTCCTTGACAGAACCGATGATCATGTCCCCGAGCCTCGCTCCTTTCTTCTCCTAAGGGACTGTCTGCACATAACCCGCTTGGCTCCGGAGTTGTCCACCACCTTGAGGTTTGTTCTCATCTGGATGAATGCTCTGATTTGCTGAAACCAGAGCAGGAACACGTGTTACCACCACTCTCTACTTGGAGAACATCTGTGACTAGGTAAACAAGCACCTCAAGAAAATTATACATTCCTTAGACACTTTAAGAAATTACCCTGTCAATTCCCTGTCCGTTCACTCCATTGTTGGCACCATAAAGGATGAAGCCTGGCTTTGGGCCAGGGCAGGTGCCAATGGACTTAGAGTAGTTCTCCCAACAACCTGGGACGTGCACTAGTGACTGCTTCACGATTGTAAAAATCCCTCCTAGGAGGACTGTAACTTTAAGCCCCCTCTTTTCAATTAAATGAAACACAAAAGTCCTTTGTGTTTTCTCAAAAAAAAAAAAAAAACTACGGAGTACGCAGTTGCTGTCCTCGTGGCAGGGGTATCTCTTAATCGTAGTTATAACACAAAGTTTAATGAGTAGATGGTGTGCACGATAGCCTTATAGTGAATACTCTATATGAGATAGAGTTGATGTCATTAGATCATATTCCAAATTACTCACTTCTGTTATGATTTGGTATCACAAAAATTATATACTAATAGTGCAATTGTTGCACAACCGTTTGTCCTAGTGAAACCTAATACACTATGTAATTTGAAACGGAAGGAGTATCTTTGTATTATGGTCCAAATAAACCAGATTGGAGGCTGGTTTAAAACAAATGCAACTAGCTGATTTCCAATTATAGTGTCATCAAGTTGTGCTAATAAACTATGTAATTTGAAACTGAGGGAGTATCTTTGTATTATGAGTCCAAATAAACCAGATTGGGGGTGCTGATTTAAAACAAATGCAAGTAGCCAATTTTAAATTCTAGTGTCATCAACTTGTGCAGGCAAATGGTTTTTCTGCTACAACCACTCTGGTTGACTAGATTACACAGGCACACAGCATCCAGCATGCACCTCTAGATTGCTGATCTCTCCCCTCTTCTTCCTTACCTCCGGTATTGGCAAGATGGGAAGTCAATCGTGACTGCTTCCATCTCCTAGGTGACCAAAGCTTTACCACAAATCTGAAGGCACGGAGGAGGTAAAGAACCGACTCCCAGCTTCCTGAAATAGGTACTGAACTACTGATTCCAATCCTTCTTTTCTCGCTTACCGCATCCACATCTGCCAAAATTGTTCTATTTGACGTCTTCCAGGCCGGAGTGCAAAACTATAAATATTTTCCTCAAAGTTCATGGCTTCTATACAGTAGCAGATTTAGGATCTTTTACATGCATGATGTTCAAATTTTGTGAAAATTACATTGCAAACAGTATAAGTTCCCTTAAACATCATCACAATTCCAACAAATAGCTCTACAATAGGCTTTAAGTTGTAGACATCACCCCTGTCCCTATATCAATACTATATGGAGCATATTTATTTTGAGACTTTGAGTAGTGCGAATGGCCCTCCTCTATAGTTCTATATGTAGGCGAAAGAAAGACACACTTGCTTTGTTCCTGAAGCAGACAACAAATTTTATGAGATAGATATTGCATGTATATTTGGCCAATGCCTATTTTTCTAAGAAAGCAACCAGAGATAATATACAAATTTAGATGATTTTACCAGTTCTCCGTGCTTCAAATCAAGCTTACTTAAATCTGGTACAATTTACCTAAATAAATCTAGTCCCAACTCTGTTATTAATTACACCTTCATTTAATTGTTACAGCCACATGGCTCAGATTGGCATACTCACCCCGGTTATCACCCTCTTGGTAAAAGAGTTATGGGAGCCAATCAAGAAGCATATTGGCTACTGTCTGAAGCCTGAAACCAATGTCTGCAATCTAGCAAAAGCTGCTGATGAATTGAGGAACTCCATACATACCATTGACGAGGCCATCCAGTTAGGTGCCAAGGCAAGAGACCAAAGTTACAAGTAACAAGGTGGACAGAGAGTGCTCGATCCACTGAAGCAGAAGCTTGCAACATCAGCAATGAGTATGAGGCAAGGACCATACATATCTTTGGCTGCTCCTGGAGTTGTTGGTCCAACTACAAAATTAGCAAATCTGCTGCAAAGGTTAACACTGATATTGAAGATATTAACAAGAGATCACTTCAAAAGGATGATATATCAAGTTTGCTCCCACCAGTTGGTTTGGAGTTGCCTTTACCAGCAAACATCGTAGGCCAAGAACACTACAGAAACAAGGTTTTCGGTTGCATTGAGGAAGGCCCTACGGACATCATTGGCATATGTGGCATGGGAGGGTCAGGAAAAACTACTCTCCTTAAACAAATCAACAACTACTATAGCTCTGAAAGGCCTATATTTGATCATGTCGTTTTTATTGAAGTTGGCAAGCAGCTAAACTTGATGGCAGTTCAGCAGAGCATTGCATCTGGACTAGGACTGTTGCAAACAGATGGAGGAGATGCAACACACAGAGCTAGAGCTATTTTCAACTTTTTACAGGAGAAGAAATTCCTGTTGTTGATTGATGATCTTTGGGACATGCTGGACCTAGTGAAAGTTGGTATACCGCACGGTTCGAAGAAGTGTTGCCTTCCAAATAGCCAGATTGTACTGATCACAACACGATCTTTGGATGTGTGTGGTAGAATGCATATTTTTGAAAATGTTATACACTTGAAATGCTTGGATTCTGATCATTCATGGCAGCTGTTTAAAGAAATTGTTGGTGGAAGAAAGATGGAAGATGCTCAAATCAGGGGATGCGCCGAGAAGATTGCGGCAAAATGTGGAGGCCTTCCACTAGCAATTAAGATAACTGGGCAAGCTATGGCTTCCAAGGTAGCTTCAGAAGAATGGGAATACAATTTGATGTTAGTAGAAGATTCAGTTTTCCATGAGGTTTCTGGTTCGGATAACAAACTCTTTCCTATACTGAAAATTAGTTATGATAGCTTGCAAAGTGATGTGATCAGAATGTGCTTTCTACTATTTGCGGGGATTGCCGCACAAGACCCAGATGATGATTGGGAGGCTGATAGTTTAGTTCATTGTTGGATGAGCCATGGACTGCTAGGCGAGGATGATGATATTGAAAGAACTTACTTGAGAGGATATTCTATTGTTGAAATTTTGAAAGATCATTCTTGATTGGATCCTCTGACAGAGGGGAGAAACATGTGAAAATGCACCATGTTGTTCAAGATCTTGCCTTGTGGATTGTAGCGACAAAACAGACCAGGGCGCGTAAAGAGAAGTGGCTAGTGGACCAAAGAGAATATACCCGAGCAGACGTTTGGAGCACCGCTGATAGAATTTTCCTCTGTGGTGGTGATATTAAGGCAATTCCTAGTTCTTGCAGCTGTGCTCACCTGTTAACATTAATACTAACAAACAATGAGCATATTTCTGAGTTCCCAGCTGGTTTTTTCTCTGCCATGAAATCACTCATTTATTTGGACCTTTCTGGAATACAGATCCAAGAAATACCATCAGAAATCGGAGCACTAACGAGCTTGCAGTTCCTTGATCTTTCTCGGACACCAATACATTCACTGCCAGTGGAGCTGGGACTGTTGGAAGATCTAAGGTACTTATATTTGGACTACGCTTTCCGTCTCAGAAATATACCAAATGGTTTGCTATCCAGACTGAAGATGCTGAGGCTGTTAGGTTTATACGGATGTCATGATTTGAGAATCGATTGTTCAGCAGGATACATCGAAGAACTCAAAAGTCTAACTAGGCTGCGGGACATTAGCTTTACAGTACAAGATTCAGACTCCATGTTGATGGTCTGTAACTTGCCCAGAGCCTTTGTAAGCGGCCTCTGCATTACAGATCTTGAAGGCTTGCAATCTCTTCAGATATCACCACTGCTCCTTACAAGTAGCAAGGCTAGACACATGGAAGCTCTGTCACTGGAAAACATCAATCTTCTGGAGGAGCTAGTGATAGGCCAGACCAATATAGACCCTGGTTGGTGCTTGCCAAGGCTAGAAACACTACTTCTATATAGTCTACTAGCACTTCAGAGGGTTGAGTTTAAAGGTATTGAACCCAACACTTGCCTTTCAGGCCTCAGGAGAATATCCATCTCACATTGCGACAAGTTGATGTCGATCACATGGATCACATGGCTGCCTTTCCTCGAAGATGTATATTTGGGTAACTGTGACTTGATAGTTGAGTTAGTGGCTAAAGATGAAGAAGCTGAGTTGTCTGCCACAGGCTCCTTCCCTCGACTCAAGTTTCTGGAGTTACTTAATCTGAAGAACCTACATAGCATCTGTGATAGCAGAATCACCTTCCCATCGTTGATGCGCTTGCTCGTTTATGGTTGCCCCATGCTAATGAAGCTGCCACGGAACTTCGCGGGCATCGAGAGCTCACCACTGATATTTAGCGAACAAAAATGGTGGGAAAGTTTAGAATGGGAGGATGCTAGCTCACAGTCCTCTCTCCTTCCTTTCTTCAGAGAAGTGCCTGAAGGCTTCAGAGGAAGTCGACAAGAAGTGCCCAGGGCTTTACGCACTTTGTTCTTTCAGTCAAAAGCGAGACGTCAATCATGAGCCCTTCATCTTTTTTTTTATTGAGATGTTCTGCAGATCAATTTGACATTGACATGCCTTTTGTTGCTTGCATATATTCGGTGTACCATGTTCCGTTCCATACTTGTATGTCTGTTACATGTCATGTTTTTCTTTTTCTTTACAACGAAAATAGAGGTTTGGTTTTAGCTCAGATCAAGATTGCAAAGTTAAGTGACACCTTAACAAAAAATAGTGGCATAAATTACAAACTAGAAAAATATGAAGAGGAAAAGAACTATTTATGTGGTTGGTCCAACGTGAACACTGAACTATAATCTTTTACATCAAGTGTGAAACTTCCTAAAATTATTTAACCTGAGCCTTATCCCGGTTAAGTTATGTTTAGGTGGACCTAGGTCCACGGGGTCCGATGACCTTTGGCATTGGTTTGCCTTGAATTATTTTTGGGAAAAAAAGGCCTTAGCCTGGTGTTAAACTGATGACAGCCTGAAACATCGGAAGATACAGTGTTGAGCCAGATTACAGTTCAGAGCCACATAAGAAAAATTACAGATGGTATATGCAGCCATGACCCCATTATCTACTTCTCATCTATGTTCCCTTATGGTATACAAAGATATCAATGAGAAAATTGACAAATAAAGAAGGCAATGTTTATGGAGAGGGGTATATTACAAAGCATAACCCTCCCTTGGCATTCGCAGCATGGAGTATGGTGTGCAAACCTAAGGATTCTTGATGCCTAGGAGTTATTCACCTCCATATCCAAAATGAGTGCCAAATTGACCAACCTTTGATGAAACTCACACGGGAACTATATTATCAAAATCACCTGCCTGTGCAAAGCAGAATGGTGTAGGACTGTCTTAAATTGCTTCCTAAGTATAAGGACAGGGCATCTTGCAATCTCCGTAGAGCAAAAAACATTAAGCTCTGGAATGGCTCGTGGTCTCAGGCAGACCTCGAGACAAACATTTGCTAAATCTGCAGGTATGTCAGTTTAGTGATGCAGAGCAGAGAGGTAGGCATACCTCTGTCAGTCAGTGGAAGCCTCTGTGAAGAATTTCGGCAGTCTGCTCATGGTGAGGCGTTCGAGATGGATCTCCTCCTCTCCTCTGTGTGCTCTACGAGGCGCTGCAACGCCGCCTGCCGCACTCCCCCCGCCGGATGAACGCCCGCTCGATGCTTTCCCGGCCCTCACGCTCAAGCAGCACGCCGATGTGCGCCGTCGCTGACATGTCAAGGTCACCGCGTCTGTGGCCCGCGAGCAATGGCGTGCTGGGGGGGTGTCTCTGGTGGCAGTGGCATCTATTGGGACGGCGACGAGCAAGCCGGCAAGGAGTGGTTGCGGGCTTGCGGCGGCGCTTGCTGCGGTCGGCAGGCGACCCCGGGTGCTCCTATGTGGCTATGTGGCCGCTTGTAGCGAACAATAGGCCCGCCTCACCTGCGGCACTTCTCATGTGCTGCCACTTGGTGTGGCTTTATTTGCCTCAAAAAAAAAAACTTGGTGTGGCTTTACCTCAAAAAAAATTGGTGTGGCTTATTAAGTGATACAATTTCCTCTCTCTCAAAAAAAAAAACTATTGTCTCAAAAAAAATTAAAATCCCCTAAAAAAGATTATCTATCTCAAAAAAAAAAAACTTTTAAAAGGTGATACAATTCCCCCAAAAAAATAACAGGCACAATTTTTATTTACATATCTCGAAATATATGTTCTTACTAATTTTATGGGCGCTGCTACGCGTCCACCGGCCGATCCGCGTGATACGTCCGCCACCTCGATGGTCGTTCGATCTACGCATGTGCAGCCGTCTGATCGATCTCCCGGCACGCGGCTCAGTCGCCTCCCCACTCATTAATTCCTGAAACAATGGGCGTGTTGCAGAAACAAGCGCTTTGTCCCGGCCCTGATAGACCTATGCCCAGCGTGGCGCCGCCCCCAACCACCGCAAAATCAGCCGCCGCCGGCGTGGGGGACCTCCATGGCGCACCACATCGCATGCCAAATGGTGGGATCGAACCCAATCTAGCTCACCGATGACCCCTGCTCGTAGAACGGGCGCGACCATCTTTCTCAGCTCCAAGCGTCGCCGGGGGGCTTCCGCTGCGAGCTGGATCTTCCACTTGGTTCACAAGTCCTCCGGTGGTGTTTGCTGAAGCTCCATCGAGCGGATCCCATCAACAATCTTCGGTGAGATCCCGTTTCTGAAACACTAGCTCTGTTCCACTCTGAAACATGAACACCTGTGTGAAAAACAGAGCAATGAGCCTTCCAAATTTTAGTTGCACATGAGCCTCCACATTTCTTGAAACATTAATAATGGCTCTGCAACAATTACTTTGTTGCAAAACCACCGAAGTGTTGTTTTCGCCAGAATTTTTAATTTTGCCTTCAACATTTTTTGCAACATAGATGATGTTGCGGGAGGACTTCTGCAAAGATGGTGGTGTTGCGGATTTTTTTTTCTGTCCTCACCTTTTTTTGCAACATAGATGTTGTTGCGGGAGGATTTTTGCAACATGAATAATGTTGCAGAAATTTTTCCACTGAAAAGATGATGTCATTTGCTATGTGAATCAAGAAATTTATGCAACAAAGTCATTGTTGCGGGAGGACTTTTGAAACAAAGCCGTTGTTGTGAAAAGTATAAAAAAAAGCATCCTTATTGGAGCAACGACGGAGGGCGAGAGCGGAGTCTAGAACGGCGCAACAAGGCTGATGGTGACTGGAGCGGAGCTCGGGCGTGCATGCTCAAGCAGCAGCCATGGCTGAGAGCGGGCGTAAGGAGATGGAGAATACATAAGGAAAGGATAAGGGGACAAGGACACGTGTTGGACATAGGAGGCGGCGGACGCGGTGCGTGTTATCCGCCGGCTGAACAATAGCATTTTCCTAATTTTATGGTAAAAATATTTATGTGATGGGAGGAACAATTTGTGTCTCCACAAAAAAGAACATTCATGTATATTAAAATAAATATTCATGTATTTCAGAAAAAACATCCACGTATTTGTACAAAAAATATTCATGTGTTGCAAAAAGAAAAGTTCATATATGACAAAAATAAGATGTTCATGCATTCTTAAAAAAATGCTCGTGTATTTTATATAAATGTTCTTCTATGTTAAAAGAAAATATTGGTATGTCTCAAGCGAGGTGTTCATGTTTTTTTTAAATGTGTCAGTGTTCCAAAAAAAAATTACATTTCATAAAGAAATATTCATGTGTTTACCCCCAAATAATGATTTTACAAAAGATAGAATTGAAAAAAAAATTGAAGTGAAAAGAAGACAAATGTATGTACTCGTACAAAATTTGTCAAAGTATTTACAAAAAAATAAGGTGGATATAATCCAAACGTTTTTACATCGTAACAGAAGAACATGGAAATATTACGATCACAAAATAATGTTAAGATGCCATGCAATGTACTCCCTCTGTAAACAAATATAAGAACGTTTAGATCACTAAAGTAGTGATCTAAATGCTCTTATTTTTTTTACGGAGGGAGTAACTAGTAATTAATGGGTTTCACCTCTAGCCTACCCCAACTTGCTTGGGACTAAAGGCTTTGTTGTTGTTGTTGTTGTTGTTGGAGTAACTAGTAATTACTGAACATAAAAGAACAGACTGAGCAGTCACTACAGCTTCACCAGGGCATATTCTCTTTTGGAATAGACATTTTTGAAAACACAAATGACCAAAGCAAAGATGGAATCACCAACAGCAAGAGACAACCAAAACAGCAAGAGACAGCCAAAACATCCGATGAACCTTGGAGATGCCCATTTCATTATGCGGAACTAACAGGGAGATAAAACGACGCCGATAGATATCTCAAACTACGTTAGAATATAAGGATATAATGTGGAGATTAAGTATATTTTGTGGGGTAAAAAAAACTCCACTCTTCGTGTCGTGTGAAGTTTGGTCAAGTCCTATAATGAGCGAAGTACACATATCCTTGTCTGGTTTGTCAACAACACACTTCGGTTCCATCAGAGAGCAGAGATTATTGGCAAACAGAAATAACCAAAGCAAAGGTGGAATAGAGTAGTAATAGAGAACCAAAACATCCCAGGTAAAATCCTGGAGATGTCCATTTCATTCTGCGGAATACCTAGATACAGGTCAGCAGATAGGCATCTCATACTATGTGCTCAGCCAGAGCCAGGATCTTGAGATGCTTCTTCTTCCTGAGCTCATGGGGGACAGGACCAAAGACACGGGTGCCAATCAGCTCACCCTTGTTGTTCACGATCGCGTTGTCGTCGAACTGGACCTCGCTGCCATCACTGCGCCCCTTCTTCATGGCAGCACGGACAACCACCCCATAGACCACGTCTCCTTTCTTGACCTTACCACGAGGCTGCGCTTCCTTGACAGAGCCGATGATCATGTCCCCGAGCCTCGCTCCTTTCTTCCCCCTAAGGGACTGTATGCACATAACCCGCTTGGCTCCCGAGTTGTCCACCACCTTGAGGTTTGTTCTCATCTGGATGAATGTTCTAATTTGCTGAAACCAGAACAGGAACACGTGTTACCAAACTCTCTACTTGGAAAACATCTGTGATTAGATAAGCAATTAGTCCCTCTGTATTATATTTCTTTACAGAGGGAGCACCTCAAGAAAATTATGCATTACTCACTTTGAGCAATTACCCTGTTAGTTTTGAATCATTCCAAACTCTTACATTATGGCCCTCTTCCAGTTTACAGAAAACAGAGCAAAAAAAAAGCTTAGAGAATGCCTCATGAAGAGAACCCCAAAGAATGGAGTTCGGCAAGTCACAGATATCTAGCTTGCAACCCCATTGTAGACAATTAAGAAGCCAACCAAAGAAAAATCTCAGATCTTGGCAGCAATAATAACACAAGCTATTCAACAATTTAACAAACTGCCTAGTTAATACCGGAACATCGATATCGTCGGAGCAATAGAAGATATACACATTGCATGGAACTTTTGAGTGCTCACGACAAAAATTTACCACATGACTTAAAAAAGGTCATGTTGGTTGCAGGGGCGGAGCCCATTGGGCTGACCCGTATGCACAGGAATACGGGTGAAAAAATTCGCTAGCAGTGCCTATTAGTTAAAAAGGCCGAGTGCATCAGGGTGGCCCAAGAGCTGTGCATCAGGGTTAGCCCGTTCCAGCCACTCCGACGCCTCCGGACTGGCCCAACACAGCAGTACACGCACGCACGACGGTTCGCTTGCGCATCCACCATTTCCTCACGTAGTTTTTGTCTATGAAAAAAAAAGAGAATCTCCTCACGTAGTCACGTACGCAAACCTAATCGATCCACCTTTTTTTTCACTAGAAAAAAACTAATCGATCCATTGATCGATTTGTGCATTACGCGTACGAACCCAGCCTACCATACTCCATACGCCCCCTGCGCGTCGCCGTCCCACACAGCCGCCGGAGGCGGCAGCGGCAGCGCGCCGGCCGCCGGCCTCCATGCAGCCTGGGTCCTCACACGGTGACGAAGCGACGCGTACGAGCAACGTTGCACGCCGTCCGGTGCTCGGTAATTTCGCATCCTTTTCAAATTCCAATCTTGAATGTTCGTCTCTGTGTCCGCCATAGATGATAAATTACAAAAGGCCACAATTGTGGTAGGGCCTTTGTCTTGCTTTTCCTAGTTTTGTTGAACTTCAACAATCATGTATAGACTTGTAGTGAATATAATAAATCACTATGTTTTGGTAAAAGTGTGGAGTATTTTCTAGGGTTATAACTTCTAATTAGGTTATATTTTATTTTCCTATACAATTCTCCATGTCTCATTTATAATTTATATTTGTCAAATACAGATACTATGGACAAGTTTCTTCTCAAAAGAAATGCACCATCACAGCCAGAAGACATAAATTGGGAAGAGGAGATTCAGTATGATCAGGGCAATCGCCTCAATGATGAAAGTTTGAGTGATGATATTATTTGTTATGTGGAGAAGGAAGAAATGAAAAGGGCCACCAATGCTCAAGTGGTTGAGTATTTCATGGCGGTTGAGTATTTCATGGCCTGGAGGAATAGAAACATACTAAGGTAATTTTCAATTTTTAGCAATCTAAGTACTTTCATTTGGGCTACATTTCAAGTAGTTATATCCCTTGTTTTATCATTATAGTAAGCAATTTGATGGCTACATTTCGTTTTTACAAATCGCTTCTATTATATCCAATAATGTGTGTTAAACCTATAAAACACACATTTATTCAATACATCCACGCTTGAAAAAATTTATGCCTTGTTAAAGTGGTGCATCGGGTAAGATTTGCTCCAGCTCCGCCCCTGGTTGGTTGGTTCTTATGACTGAAAAAACAAGCATTTGTGGTTTGAAGGAAGCATCAATACCTGGCAGACAGCATCAGAACGAGATGGTCTTGCCACTGTTTCAATAGACGAGCTAGCGCCCCCGTACAGATTGTTTCCAAGGCTTCCCATCATAGCACGTCCAACTACATAGAACAAGAGAAGTGTTTGCATCATGTTATTTTGCTATAAGCATCACTGGCCAAAAGAATATGCAACTGGTCACATTTCAAAGGAATCCAGAGAGAAAATTTGACTAGAGCTTCCAAGATACTCCACCTGATCATTTTCTTATGGTGAGAAAACCAGCCATATCTTTCACAATCAGTGATGTGAGTTCTTTAAGCATTTAAGTCATAGGAGTTAACCATAAACACCACATGATCACATCCCTAATAGATAGTCATTTACTCAATTTTTGAGGCAAACACATAATCTGAAGTTTGGAGTGACCAAGGTTCAAGTAGCAGACCATTCAGACAGAGGTGTAACCAGTACTCCCTCCGTCCCACAATATAAAATAGCTTGAAAAATGATCTTATATTGTCGGACGGAGGGAGTAGCCATGATTTTTCTCCAAGGTTTTAACACACCATGTTCTTCTCGCACCAATGCCACCAATCACAGATTGTATGTGAGCAATTTTGATCTTTGCAAAGAGTAATAAAACTGACAACACAAAAACATGACATGGCGTGAAGATGCATGTTTGATCAAATTCCATATTAACCAACTCTTGCCTGCTACAATATCAAGTAACCGCTACGAGTATCAAGACTGACTAAGGTGGTTCAGGTAGCAAGACTTTGAGAAGGCCCAGAAGTTAGCTACAGTACCTGACGAACACTTGGACCTGAGGAATGCTGCCATTTCACCCTGCTCTCTGCCTACGCTTTCCTGCACAAGAAAATGGCTCAAATTTTACAGCAACGACACCGCGGATTCATGCGCGTAGCATCAGGGCCGGCGGAACCAAATCTGGCGCGGAAATCTTGGCGCGTAGAAAGGAACCGAAACGAACGGCGAGCCAGGCAGAGCTAGGGCTTCCTTACAACAAAAGGGCTCAGGCAACCGGATGGATCTCCGCTCCGCGCTGCTCCAGTAGAAGGGAGCGGGGGAGGAGGACGGCGCCGACGAGGAAGGAGAGCTCGAGCTGGCCGCTCCGGTGGGAGGAGGAGAGGAGAGGAGGAGGGTGGGGTTTCTGCCGGCGGCGCGCGACCTAATCCCACAGCCCATGGCAGACATGATCTGGGTGAAATGGTAGCCCGGCCCAGCCCAACACGTCAGGCCTCTGTAAACACTTCGGGTCTTCCTCGGCCAATATTTAAGCCCATGAGCCGGCCCGGGCTGATCTTTTCCTCCTCCGATCCCTCTCTCTCTCTGCCCCGTCTCCGGCGGACTTCAGTAGCCCCCACCCCCCGCCGGCCGCCGCAGCCCCCGGTTCCTCGAGGATACTCCACGGAAGCAGGGCTCCATGGCCCAGGGCAAGAAGAAGGCGGCGGCGGCGTCCAAGCCCCGCAAGCCGAAGCAGCGGGACGCAGCGGTAACGAACCACGCCCCCGATCGACCGATGCGTCGCTTCCGACCACTTGATCGATCTCCCGGCGCCGGAGGACTCAGGCCGCCTTTGGTTCTTTTTGCTCCGCAGGAGAAGAAGATGGGGAAGAAGGCCGACATGTCGGAGTTCAGGGCGCAGCTGGGCTCCTTCGGGCTCAAGATAGTCGAGGTCACCGCAGACGGCAACTGCTTCTTCAGGTTTTCTTCAGATTCTCTTTCATCTTGAGGAAAGATGGCTTCAGGTTTAGGCCTGCTGTCCTTTGAGTTATATGACTACTCATCGTAGTCTGCAGGGCGATGGGCGACCAGCTGGAGGGCGACGAGGGGCAGCACATGAAGTACCGGGAGATGGTTGTGCACTACATCGTGGTATATATGCAGTCAGACGACTCTTTGTGTGTACTGTAGCAAGTTACTACTTCCAAATTGCAATGTCAGTTAGGATTTCATGGTGGGGTAATTAGGCATGATGCTGAATACTGTGCACAGGGCTATGACACTTTGTGATGATCCTTGTTGTGTCCAACTTGTAGGAACACCGCGAGGAGTTTGAGCCCTTCATCGAGGACGATGTGCCGTTCGATGACTACTGTGACTCCATGATGAAGGATGGGACTTGGGCCGGCAATATGGAGTTGCAGGCGGGATCTCTTGTCACGGGAAGAAACATCTGCATCCACATGGTAATTTTCAGTGCAAGATTGCCTTTCTGATCCCTATGATTTATACAATATAAGATTTTACAGTTTGTATAAGATTGGTGTGCTACCTTTATGCCCTTTGATACTCTTCAATGGATGATAGTTTTATATCCGTAATATAACTTTTGATTAACACCTGTATCATTACTGTTTGTTTTACAGCTTAACTCACCACGGTGGTACATAAACAACTTTTCTGGTCGTGAAGCTAGCAATATGGTTCACTTGTAAGTTAAGATGTTATGTGATTATGTAACTAAACTGTTATTATTGCTCGTAGTGGGCATAGTTCTCATGTACCATCTAATTTGTTTGAATGCAGATCTTATCATCACGGTGAGCACTACAATAGTGTCAGGCTTACTGAAGATCCATGCCAAGGTCCTGCAATGCCAGTTGTTATCAAGGTCTTCTACTGCAAAAATTGTTAACAGTTCTGTTCTATTCTGCTCTGTTCTGGGAGAACAATGGACTACTGTTGTCTTTGGGGACCACTGACTATGCGTTTACTTACTGTGGTCGATTTATGTTTTTTATTATTCAATTGCAGACAGATTCCAATGTAGCCAGCACGAGCAACAATGCTCAAACGAAAGCTAAAGACTCGAAGAAATCTTCAAACAGATCAGCCTATGATGATACATCAGTTAAAATGGTCATGGCCGGAACTGGCTGTTCTAATGTTGCTGCTGTTCAACATGTATGGATTGCATGATTAACTTTGAATATTGCACTGCATGTGTGCACTTGATTTACGTTGATTGTTAACAGTCATTATCTTTGGATGGCATTAATAATTCTTTTGCAGGTTTTGGGTGAAATGGATGGCGACATCGATTCTGCTATTGAGTACATGATAGCCGAGCGACATGCGGCGGCCTATGATGATACATCGGTTAAACTGGTCATGGCTGGCACTGGATGTTCTAGTGTTGCTGCAGTTGAACATGTATGAATTTTATGATTAATTGCCATTATTGCATTGCATTTCTGCACTTGCTTTCTGTGATTGTTAGCAATCATTATCTTTGGACGTCATTAGTAATTGTCTTGCAGGTTTTGGGTCAATTGGATGGCGATGTTGATTCTGCTATTGCGTACATGATAGCCGAGCGATTTGCAATGAGTTCTGATAATGTGGACGGAGATCCTTATATGGACTATGCGGGAAATGGTAAGCCTTGAACTACTCTGAAGTGACTAATAAATATGGCCTCTGTCTTCACAACAGTTTTACATCGTAATGCCACTATCTAACCCATTTGGGATCTTGATCTGGATCACCATATTGGACTTGGGGTGGCTTCTAGTGATTGATATCCCCATCTTTTCCAAAGACTTAGAACTCATAAATTTTCCTATAAAAAATCACTATTTTGGTTACAAATGCAGTTTTTAGAGTGAAGTCCTGTTCCAGTGTTCTTAGCTTTTTGCTGAAAAAAAAATCCAGTGTTCTTAGTCCAGTTCACTTAATGTTGTGTCAGCATTTCTTATTCACACCTGAAATTTCCAAAGGTTTTAATACTGTGGATGATTTGTAAGTACTAGGTAGTAAGCTGATTGGTGCTATCACAATCTAGATGTTCTGGGTGTGTGCTTCACGTAACCATCTGCTGCTTATTATGAAGAAAACACTCCTTTTCTAGAATAATTGTGAACACAATACTGTCAAAAGATAGTTGGGAATGCTCAATCATTCATGGGTTTTTGCCAAAGTATAGGCTACTTTGCTGTTCTGCATGCCTTTTTCATATGTTAGTTAACATTCATATAATTGGTAGATCTGTACTAAGAGTTGTATGTGATAACCAGAAATGTTGCACTATAGACTTGGGTAAAAATTGCTATTTTTTGGTGAATTGCTGGTTGTTGTGAAGACAACTTCTGGCAAGGTAATAGATGTTTAGGTGATATCTGAGAAGGGCTGTTGTTGTGTAGACCTTGAATAAATACTTACGAAAGTGAACGTCAACACTTTTAGCTTCTATCTGAGTTACCATCCTTGTTCAACTAAGGTTTGGTTCTCTAAATTGATTTCAAACTGTTAAGGAAAGAATATATTTTACCAAGTAAATAGTAAGATGAAGGAAAATTCAGTACACTAGGTACAATAGTATCAGGTCTCCAGAAATCTCGCATGTAGGAATTGTAGGATTTATTCTTTTATCGCATTGGGATGTTCTGAATTCCTGAATTGGTTAATTCAGGAACAGTTGGATACTGACTCGTTCGTTTACTGTGCATATTTCCTGGATGATCAGAGTTTGTATATTCCGTAGGAGATGAGCTTAAGCTTAGCACATCCCAGAACGAGGACCAAATGGTTGAACACAAGGAAGAAGAAAGTTGTTCTAGTAAAGATGAAGCGGTTCAGGAATCCAAAAATCCACATGCTAAGAAGGTAACTACCATGTGAACATCTCTTGACTAATGTTCCCAATGTTAAACTGCCTCACATTCTTCCACTATGTTTAATAATAATGAGAGTTACCCCTTGTGCTTTTATACAGGAAAACTCAAAAACGAAGGAGTGCTCTTGTGGATCTGCAAAGAAGCACAAGGCTTCTTGTAGTTTAGCCACGGCTGTACCGTCAAGAGAACCTCCAAAGTATGACTTCTGAATGTTCCCATTCTCTCTTGGTCTTTTTACTGCTTGTGAGCTTCTTTTCTGTTTCTTCCATGGCAAACATTCTCTTTTTTTTAGATAGGCAAACATTCTTCTGATAATTTCGTGTAGAAAAGAAAAACATCACCAGTTTCCTTGCACGCTGCATGTCTGCTTTTTCTTTGTACAATGTTGAATTGAGAGAGTAAATAAAGTATAAAAACACTGATAATGCTCGCCTCTGTTTGCTTGACGCCATCAGGAACAAAGGCGGTGGCCAAGGGAAGGGCCAGAAAGGGAAGGCGAAGCAAAAGAAGAAAGAACAAGTCCAGGCAGCACCCGTCAAGGAACGCAAGTCTGCATTACCTGTGCCAGACCTAGGGGCCCTGTGCATATGAACACTCATTGATGTCCAGCACACTCCATTGAGAGGTTTCGAAGAGGCGCATGTGCTCGCCTAGCCATGGCTGAACCGCGAGGCGTGGACCAACGGGGTTGCGATGATTCCTCTCGCTTGACCGGTATCATTGAGCGAATGCCAGCCATTGCTGACTGACAGTTTGCTCTTGTGATGCTAGATCCTAGCAGTAGGATGTATAGGGGCGACGATGATGTCTGCTAATGGGAGGCGCATTCACATGGGTACATTATATACGACACTGATTTCCATTGGTGAAACCTCAGTTGTGATCAGTGAGTATGAACATTGTGATTAGGTTGTGATCAATGCTGTCCTGATGCGGACGAAAGAGGCATAAATAGTCCTTTGATCTTCGGAAGTGTTGCTCTAATCCCAAGCACAAATGCACAAACAGTAACTTCCACACAAAAAAAGGGTCAAAGATAAAAAAATAAAAACAATCCTAATATTTTTGTGGGTGTTCAACAAATATTCTGACATTTCTAGGTGACTTTAGTTTTTACAGGATGTTTGAACATATGTTGATGTCCATCCAAAAAATCATATTTTAAAAATTGTGTAGTATTTTATCAAATTTTGCATGATG